TGGGTTTGTTTATCACGAGGAGCTGCGGGCCCACACTTCCGGGACCACAGTTACCTCTGACAAAATTGTCCCAGTTGAAAGTGCAATCATATGGACCTATCTATTTTTGTTTTTCCGTCTTATATTGTGGACCCCGTTTCACCACAGGGCAGTGAGGGAGAGAGAGTGAAGGAACTGGACAGGGGCAATCCGACATTGGATGTCTAGCAGCAGCAAGTCACACAGGCTGGAGGTCACGGGGGAGGCAGGTGGGGAGACGAACAACACAGTGCAGGGGAGGAAATGCCAGGGAGTCTAACAGCAGGCAAGAAAAAAAAGCAGCAAGGCCAAAAGGAGCAAACAAGAAGGGTACAAGTAGCGAAAAGTTAAGACGCAAGTACAGAGGCAACAAAAAAACAACTACCACAGACAAGAATCAACCAGGCAACAAGCAACATGGCAAACAAAAGTGAGGAAACACATAGGTCGATGGGCATGGGGGATGCAGGAGGGCAGACAAGGCAATCACACAAGGCAGAGAAAAGAAAGCAACCCGGGGACAAGGAGGAGGGGGGAGGAGGGGACTGATGATAGATTGTTCCGTCTCAGTTGCAACGACTCAAACCGTCAACAATCTGCGGAATCCCAATACTGATGTTTTCGGTCGTGAACCCTTTGACCCTTGTAGAAAGCAGACGGCCAGCAGGCAACATCGCAAGCGGAGCATAGCAGCAGCCAACGACTCCGCAAAGCCCCCGCTACGCTGCCGGGCCAACCCAACTGCAAAGCGTCAGAGCTAACTGCATGGAACGACAGCGCAAGCGGAGTGGCAGCAAAACGACAGCACAGTGAAGCACACATCAGCGCCGCAGCAGCGGCAAACTTCACGTCACACACGCAAATGCACGGGAAGACAAGGCACGTGGATGGACAGCAAGCCAATAGCACAGCGAAGCACAGCACAACACCAACGGTGCAGCCAAACTACACAGCACAACACCAGTTGCAAAGAACAACACGAGGAGCAAGTGGGATGGGCAGCAAGGCAGCCGTGGAGCATAGACAAGGCAGTCCACACATCCAACACGGAGCAAAGCCATCCGAGACCTACTCACACCAAAGTAGAACCCCGTAGACTGTTGGTTCCCACCACCTGCTGAGCCACGAAGACAATCCGAGGGACATCTACCATCACCCATTGACCATATGCACCACAGACATCGCAGGCAGACCGACCCCCTGAAGAGTGCTGCAGGCACTCCAAACCACCGATCTCCGACTATTTAGAACCTCTCAGAGGTGCTCACCCAGACACACAAAGTAAGAAA